TCGGCCGAGTCAACTTTCGTAAAGGCTTTTGGGACTTTTACTGGGGACAATGGCCCCGTGGGGGGAGTACTTTAGGAATTTCTGGGTGGGGATGTGCCGCTGGGACCCTAGAACCCTTAACCTATACCATAGCTAGTTCAGCTGAATTTTGCTACCCTATATTTGAGTAAACTCCCCAAATTCCCCCTATCCTAGAGTAGCTGTTTCCCTAGTCTAGATAAAATCTTCAACCAACTGATCAGTTTCCTGAGAAATGATACCCTATTCTAGACCCAAACGCTATAATTTATATACCCTATCCCTGGAGTAAACTGCTTGAAAACCATACCCTTCACAGTGGCACATACCTATATAGCCCATATATGGCAGTACGCCCCCCCCCCCCGGGACAATGGCCAATAGGGGTTTGACGATCCGAGACTGGAAAAACGTAAATTCACTTTTAAAGCGACGTTTTCGCTGCCATCGTGTCGTCGGATCGTACAGTATTTAATACGAAACTACGACGGCAACGGCAAAAAGTTAATAGGTTTAGCTAGCAAAACAACAACTGCACGTAACGTTCATTATACTTTTTTTGTACATTTCTTTGCTGTCCCTGCACAACTACGACGTGAAATAAGACTAAATTTTATGTTTAAGTGAGGCCGGGAACGGTCAGGCCTTAATTTCTACCATTTCTGCCTGAACTTGGGCGCGGTCCCCTCTCTTCGCGAAATTGTTTGAAAGGATGCGGAGTCTAATTTTTCAGTGACGTTTCCATGGACGTCATTGTTGTCGGATCGTAAGGTCCCTAATAACTCACCGGCGCGTCCCTATTAGTGATCCCAGAAGTCTTTGCGAAAGTTACCTTGGTCCAGTTTCCTTCTTGTTTCTAAAGTTGCCATGACACAGCTAGAATATCCACCTAATCGAATTCAACGTGGAGCACATTTTCAACCAATCAGAAGCATTTCCCAGATCTGTGTAGTGACACGTTATAAGTATGAATTTTCTGCACTTGTTTCGCAGGGAAACCATTGGGTCGGCTGTTTTCTCAGGCTAGGAGCACTGCGGGGACCAGCCATTTTAATGACTAAAAAAATTATGTATATATATATACGGCCGGCAAATCTCAGCGAGCAACCGCCATGGCGGATAACGGTGTAGTGTATCCCTCTTACGTAATTGATTTTGTTTGCATTGTTGCCCACGAGAAACAGTTTTATTGTTTTGAAGTCATATGACCTCAAAGAACCAATGAGGATGCACGGCAGGAGGAAAAACTGATACCATTCGCCATTTGCACTTTTCATAATACACCTTGTTCCTCTCCGCCTTAAATTGTATTTTGCCTAACTTTTGTTTTAAATTTCTCCCGGGTATTACAGTCGTCCCAAGAGAAATTGAGGACAATACCTAAACACACAATTTTGGTAGGCAAACAAGGTAAGTTATGGGAGATTTGCAAATGGCGAATATAACAATTCTTTTACTTTTTTCAGGCTGTCTACAAACTGCCCTCAGTGTGTTAAAGGACCTATTAATCCACGTTCACCTCTGATTATAACGGGGCTTTGTTCATCATGTCAACATTCCAATATCTCATACGAATGGAAGCTGTTTCATGTGGGAAAATCTAAACTGCAGAAGGATGAAGAGTGCAAAGCAAACTTACTTGTAAGCACTGGCAGGACAAGTACTCAATCACCAATTTCAACACTTGCATTTTCGACCACGCAAATTCCTCCAACTACAAGGCCACAGGCCGGTCATAAGCCCAGGTCCTTCCAGCGAACTTATGCGAAGTTTTCCAGTGGCGATATCTGTGAGGATCCTGACGAGATGATGCGCCCTAACCTGGTTCCATCCCCTCGGCCGCATAATCTGGGCAGTAGTGGTGGAGGTGATAGTGGTGGCAATAAAAAAACCACCAAAAGGCCTGTGTCCACAAAGGCGAACACTACCGATGGTGCTGCTAGTCATGATGACGACGACTCCGAGTATGGGGATATTTATGACCCATTGATAGTACGCACGAACACTACCGATGGTGCTACTAGTGGTGATGACCCCGAGTATGAGGATATTTATGACCCATTGACAGTACCACGCAGTGCAAAGAAATATTCAATATTTACAGCGGGATCTCCTTCCTTCATAGAACTGCCATCGAGCCAAACATCTACAGGCACCAAGCATCCAAATTTAGTCCTGCTGGGAAATTATCTGCCTGCCGGACGAGAATTCATGGTGGCTTTTGTAGTAACGGACCAGAATAATGGACGGAAAGGAATAGCACGTATCTACATCAACACAAATACCATCTATGACTGCGGTATTTGCCAAGTCACACCAGACCTGGGAACTGCCCTGCATACCCCATTTAAGATAACCTGTACGGGCTGGAGTTTTATGGTAAGGCAGTCGAGCGGCGCATAAGAGCTATGTCACGCTATTTGTTATCTTTTTAATATCATAGGTGACGAATTACTCCTTAATTTTGGCGCGAAATTTCAGC